CGAACTTCGACCGCGGCGACGCTTTTGGTTGCACATGTCGCTAACGGCGCATTCACAAGCCAGACATGACCCCAAACAAGTTCCTATGAAATCGGTGACGTCACCTTTTTTTGCGGTTTCAAATCCGCCATGTTCAAGGCGAAAAAAAAGCGTGCAAAACTAAAGAGTAGAGGCCAGATTCACGAGGAGCTTTTTAGTTCACAACAACTTAGCTAACAAGTTCGTAAGTTAAGAACATCGTAAGAAGAGGAGAAATCGGTATTCACGAACGCGTTCTTAAAGGGCAACTCCGCTCAATTTCGAAAATTTCGAGATAGTGACTGATTTTGCTTTAAGAAGCACTCAAAAACGATCCCCGATCTTTTGTTTCGCGAAAAATAAAATATTTTTCGTGCAATTTTACTTTAGCCATGATCGCAAAACGAAACCGAAACGGTGACGAAGCCGGACAACATTGTGTCTTCGGCATCACTGAGCATGTACACCCACGTGATATACAAGGGGTCACGTGACCTATCGCGCGGACATGCGCTTCGCAGTCATCGTCGCGTCGTCTGCAGAGCACGTGCCGCCGCTACATCGTTTTGTCTGACAGATTTCGAACACACGAAAAGGTAAGTTTCCCCGAAAGCATAATTTGTAGGAATTCGTGGAAGGCAAACTCTAAGAAAGCGCACGTAAACACGCTTTGTCGAGTCTGAGGTTCAGACGTGTCTTACTTTTAGTATTTTGTCGCCGGCAATTTCTGCTGAAACTTAAATTGTGTGTAGTTAAAATTATTGTTTCAGTGCGTTTAATGTACGCGTATAGGACTGTCCCCGTTTGTTGGCAAAAATGGCTCATCTCGTCAACAGCTCAGATGGTAAACCTTTCCACTCATAATTTGACTGTTTCAGCAAAACGCGAGAAAGCGCCGATGCCGTGTTAGCGCCCGCTCATTCACACTGGAACCGGATCCGCGTTCGCAAAGCGGTTGCGAACGCGGTTGTATAAAGATCCACTGCAATTGCACACGCACTCGATGTCATCGAGTGATTTTTATAGAACCGCGTCCGCAACCGCTTTGCGAACGCGGATCCGCTTCCAGTGTGAATGAGCGGCTACCGCTCATTCACACTGGAAGCGGATTTGTGTGGAAGCGGATCCGTGTGAACGCCGCGTGAAGGGTATGACCTCTCGAAAGCTCACGATCGCAAATTATGTTGCGTTTCACTGAAGTGCCCTTCTTGCATCAATCGCACAACACGTATTTATGCCAAAGCGATATGCTCGAGTCAAACAGCGATGCCGTACACGGGCGGCGGCCACTCGTTTCGTTGGTTTTTGCGAAACGGAAACAATAGAGCCACCCCTCTGCATCGCCTATGCCAGAAAAATATCGCGTGTAAATCTTACGAAACGTGTGCAGACGTACTGCATGGTGCAAGCAACAAAATTTGCATTCACTTTTCTGTGTCCAGTGGATAAGAGTGAAGTATTATTAGCATAAGCCGACCGTGGTTAGTGACATTATGTAAGCTACCATATAATATTACTTTCTTTATATGAAGTCGCTGTATGACGTAATTAGTTTGAGATCAATTGTATTATTGGCTCCTTCAAGCAGGAATGCAGAATTAAAGCACATACGCTCAGGCATTTAAAAAATTTTGACTTTAATATTGCCAGCAAAAATCAGGGACTCTCATATAAGTAGAAACCTACCTTGAATAAGTCTTTTACTGGTCAGATTTGGACATTAAAATTTTAGTTCTCAATTCCAAGTTCAAAGGAAAAGGCCCCAATTGTTTTTTATTTTTATTATTATTTCTTTCATACTGGGAGCTGGAGTTTCAACGGGGAATTTCAAGTCAATATCTCCATTGCAGATTTTAGACCGGTAACTTTATTTTGAGACACTAAAAAATAAGCAGCTCAACGTATAAAGTTAAAACTTACCTCGAATACACATTTACATCTTAGCAGGCATGTGTTCCTCTTCAGTGGGCCTCTATGGCCGTTTTTTTTAGAATCTGACAATTAATCCATATGCTTACTTTCAGCACAAATGTCAGACGACGACAGCCTACCCCGCGAGGCAGACTTTGGAGGTTTGCTGCAAGGGGCAATACATGTCCCCGATCCGTACCGGTTTGACCCTCCACTACCAGCGAGGGAACGACGTGCCAGAGAGCACATCCCCGTGTCACAAGTCCGGTACATTATTTAATCAGTCCACGCATGCCTTGTGTCAATCAGTATATAAGTACTACTTCTGATTGGCAGAAAACAACCAAAGGTATCTACAAAATCATTTTTATTTCAGTTATCTGTTCAGAATTTCACATCCACTAGAATTGGCTCATGATAGATGTCACAGAGCAAACTAAGAAAGCCCACAATTATAGGAATGAAACAACACTTGATGGTTGCGGCAGCTACAGTGAAGCTTTGCGGATAAAATACAATTCTTTTGTGGTTTACGCTCTTCCAGGTGCACCTGTGAAAGCTGCCCCCAAGAAGAGGGGCACTGTTGCCGTGACATTCCGAAAGTAGCCGGAAAGATTGTGGGGAAATGTATCACAGACGGCGCACTCTTCAGACTCGTGTGTTTGGACGAGAGGCTGCTCAATATAGCCTATGAGCAGCTCTCGTCTTATGAGCCCATTTATTTCGAGCCAGCAGCTAGGGACCAGAACAAGTAAGACCAGTTTTTGATAACAGTTATGTTTTAATGCACTGCTTGCCTGTGAAATCAATTCTCGGGTAGTATATATTGCAAAGGATAGATTCCCCCCTTGATAAATCTGTTTCGGTACAAAAACACTTCAAATCCTAAATAGGAAAATCATTGGGTTCTGCCATGTATTATGTTCATGTTCGCCACGTATAGCGAACACATCCTATTGAGCTAAGGCAACAGCGGGTGTACCGAAAACGCTGGCGGGGGAGAGCGAGCCACGGAGAAGCACCACACGCCTGTAAAAGAACAGACTGGGCATGGTCTGCGACCATGCCCAGTCTGTTTTTTTCCAAGCGTGCAGGGCTTGATTGTAACCTAACAGTTAAATAAATATATCCTGCACTGTCCCAAATTAACCGGCACATCAATCACACTGGCAACGAGGATGAGATCCATGCAACAAAGACGGATATAAACAACTGAGCGACAAAGGAGACAGCGGTAACGTGAGTGATGCCCGATCTCAAACCTAAAGAATGCCTCGCATCGGGAAAATTGAAGAGTTTGATTATAAATCGTACTTATGGTCTGCGTATGGGATACGGTCCATTCGTCACATGCACAGTTGTCACAGGACGATTCGTCACACTGGAACATTCATCATATAGGATGACTCGTCACATGGCCTACCGGTCCCACAATAGTTTGTTTCCCCAAAAATGTATTGTTCAATTTTGCTTGGGCGGACAAAGTGGCTCACCTCATATCTTAGGATGTCTTTGGCTCCCGAAAGGCGAAGAATTTGTAACAGACATGTTAGCTTCTGGTTCGGACCCGAACATTGAATGTTGGTTCGACCTGACAAAGTGGGTCACCTCTTAGCATGTCTTTCGCTTCCCAAGGTCAAAGAATTTGTAACAGACGTTTTAGCTTCTGGGTCCGTCCTGAACGTTGAATGCGGAGGCCATATAAGAGCGACTATTTTTGAACTCGGACTACATTCAAAAGGATGGAGGTGATCGCAACAGAGAGGGTAGAGCCATGATGCTGCAGGAGGGGTACTCGTACACATTCAGCAGAACGAATTCCGATACGTATTGGTTTTGTCGAATAGGTGTATGCAAGGCAAAAGTAAAAACCAATTTGGCTGCCAGTTGGATTATTGCTCAATCAAGCCAGCAACTGAGATCAACCTGCTGAAGACTCGTAATAGAATGCAAGGAAAAGCGGATGATTATTGCACAATTAGTTTTTTTATCTACTGCTTTATGTAACAGTGGGAAGTCGTGAAACTCCTCATCAGGGCAGTTGTTGAAATTTACTATCGTCCCCTGCCCGATCGATGTGACCAGTTGCCTGCATGACGAGTCATCCTGTGACGAATATTCCTATCCGACGAATCGTCCTGTAACGATTGCGCATGTGACCGTTCGACTGGGGTAGAACCACATCGACCTGATGCCCAATCAAATGGTTGAATGCTACAAATTCCATCACTGGAAGTAGTTGGAATTCGAAACCATCGCAGACTACGTAGCTGCACTCAAACAGCTTTCGCTGCAATGCAACTTTGGTATTTCCCTCCACGACCGACTTCGAGACAAGCTCATTATTGGCATCAAGGACGGAAACATTCTCGAAAAACTGCCGGTTGAACTGACACCAACATTCAAGGCAGCAGCGCATCTTGCCACTTCGATGGAGGTAGCCATGAAGGATGCAAAGGAAATAAGGAGCGAGGCCAAGACCCAACAAGATATCAATCGCTTGGTGCAAGGACAAAAATACAAGACATCGTTTCCGAAAAAAGCAAGCGAGGGAAGAGGAAAATCTTGCAGTAAAATGGATAGGTGGGCTAGTCGGTACACGTTTGACGTGTGAAGCGCCTAAACAACGAGGACACGAGTAAGACGAGACAGGACCAAGCGCAGCGCTTGGTCCTGTCTCGTGTTTTTTAGGCGCTTCACAAGTTGAAAATCTTGCACAAGCAGGACCCCATGTCACCGTTGCGGCAAGACCAATCACAACCCTGAAAGCTGCTTTGCAAAGAACACGGCTTGTAATATGCGGAAGAACAGGACACTTCCAAATGGTCTGCCGTGACAGGAAACGAGATCCACAAGACTCGAGAAGAAAGGACAAGCCAAGCTTTACCAACCATGTCACTACATAAAACTCGGAAGCCGAAACTCCGTTTTATTTCATCGACTCAAGCTGCCCGAAATTCATCACAGTACCTGTGGAGATTTGCAACAACCCTCTTCAGATAGAGATTGGCACAGGCTCACCCGTGACTGTGATCAACCTGGAGGCGTTTCAAGAAATTCCTCCAGACATCCAGTTGAAACCTTTGGGAATAACGCTGAAGCCATACAATGGCAAGCCCATCATTCCAGAGGGAATGGTTCAAGTGGAGATGCAGTAAAACGGGCAAGTCATGCATCATAAAATTCAAGTGGTGAAGAAAGGGGGACCTCCCACACTGGGACGGGCATTGCTTCAGGATTTTCAAGTGAACTAGAAGGAAGTGCACAACGTGCGCGCAGAAACCTTAACTCTCGCAAGAGTGCAACAGGAACACAGTTCCATCTTAGAAGGTCCGAGAGCTGATGAACTATGCCATGAAAATCGGCGTGAATGATGATGCTCAACCAAAGCTTCTCAGACCAAGGTCAGTTCCATACGCCCTCCGACAAAAGATTACGTCTTGAGGAAAAGCACATAATCACTCCTGTGATGAGGAGTGAGTGGGCGACTCCAATTGTTCCAGTGATGAAGGCAAACCGACAAGTATGCTGGCATATGCGGGAATTACAAGGTTACACTCAATACTGAAGATCTCTTTGTGAAGACTGGTCATGGAGAGAGAAGTTCACTAAGCTGGATTGCAGACAAGCCTACTTCCAGATCCCCTGAACAGAAGAATCAAGAGATCTCACAGTGATCAACACACATAAAGGGCTCTATCAGGTGAACAGAGTGCCATTTGGAATAACCCCCAGCATCAGCTATCTTCCAACGCATCATCGAAGAACTCATTGGGAACTTAACATACACAGGTGCCTTTCAGGATGACATTGTGGTAACTTTCAAGAACGATCAACATCACATATGGCAAAAACTCAAGGGAAAGAAAAATGCTGCTTCATGCAGGACTCTATCGAGTACCTACCTAGGACATGTTGCAGACCAACAAGGAATTCACCCAAATCCCAAGAAGGTGGATGCTATCCTACAGGCGAAGACGCCCAAAGACCAAAAAGAACTCTGGGCATATCTGGGGCTCCTGAACTTCTACGGAAAGTTCATCAGCATCACATGTTCATTACACTGCATTGCTTGTCTGTTCCCAACATGCACCGCAGTACGTGATTGTTTTCGCAAACTAATGAGTGTCTGTGGGCATACCATTTGCAGAACATACAGATTTACAGCCTACAAGCAGTTCGTGTGGTGGGTCTGGGGGAAGCTGGGCCGTCACCGCCGTGTCAGGCTCCCATGCTGTGTGGTCGGCAAGATCCGGGAGCGATTTCCATCTGCAACATATAGGGGATTCCAGTATTGTTGATCACTGTCCATGCCTGTACCTGATCTATTATATGCAGCATGTGCACAAACGCTCTCATCCCACTTTGAATGGTCCACAAAAATCGGTTTCTCAATGTATTGCACTTGGATTTACTACAAAGGTGCACAGAGGGAGTTAAATTATCATCAAATAAACTTGCCTTGTTCAAGTAATAAGAAAAAAGAATAACTTGTTTCGGGCAATCTATGAAGCCGTTTTGCGGGTGACCCAGGCGGATTTTATTTCTTGAACAAGGCAAGTTTATTTGACGATATTTTAAATTCCTCCCGGCATGCACTGCTTAACCGCACCTGTGTAGTAAATCCGAGCTGGATATGTTGAGAAACCGATTTTTGCGGACCGTCCAAAGTGGGATTGAAGTGGTAGTGTACACGCTGTATAAACAAAAGAGTTAAATTGTCAACATTGTACAAGCCGAGACTTCGGAAAAACAAAACAAAAAAGGGACAGCACAGACACATTTGAAGTTTGGGCTATTGGGTAATTCATGGTTAAAAATTAAAAAAAAAGTGCAAGGTCATTCTTGTTCGTGCCTTTCCCCTGCTTTTAATTTTTAACATGACATATGAGCTAGCCCAAACCTCAACTGTTTCTGTGCTGACTCTTTTTTGTTTTGTTTTTTCCGCAAGTCTTCAGTTTTACAATGATGAAAGTTAATCAGCTCGCTGGCATCTGCCCCATTATTTCTACAGTTAAATTATAATTGCTTACGGGACAGAATAAAGAAGTTGATTTTGAAAGGTTATAAAACATTCATTCATTTCAGAAATAAAGCAAAACTGTCAGTCAAACTTGTGTACACATATTATGCAAATTCTAGCTAGCTTACAAGTTCTTTATTTATTCAATAGTAGAATACACTCAGTTAATTTGTCATCCGTAGTAAGAATACTTAATTTAAAATATTGCCAATTTCCTCACCCATGCCTAACATTGGCCCTGGCGTTGTTGAGTGTGAAACCGGGTCCTGTGGGCTAGGACTGCAGCTTCTTTGTTCGGCCTCTGGGATGCACTGCACAGGGGCTGCCTACGAGAGCAGGGAACATAGGCGGCCTCGGCCTCCTTGTAGGTGGGGACGGCTTCCGCCAACTCCAGGCAGCAGCTGAGGAGCTTGTGGACATAATCTACGTAAAGAATGGTGATGATTAAACCCCAGTCATTCTATCAATAAAAATGTTTCCATTTACCGTATGACGCAGGCTCCATGATTTGTTTTACAACCCATTCGCCTTTTCTCGCCTTCGGGTATTGGAGTGCATACCGCTCCTTGCTGTCTTTTGTTTTGGCTTGTTTCCGTTCTGAATTTTCATTGTAGTGGAGGACAGCAATGGAAGTCCTGTGAAGGCAATACAGAACAGGCACGATAGTTTGCTAGTGATGGGCCAAACTTTTTCCGAATGGTGTGTAATTGTCTGCTGAGCCTTTACACACATTGGGCAGGGTTGCCGAATCTCGCACACTTTACTTTTGTAAAAACATTTTTTTCTGCTTTTTAAAACATATTTTCTTGTTTATTGCTATTCTACAGGACCATTGCATCAAAGTGATTTTCCTGTGTGGAAATCGTTCAATATTGTAAAACCAATGTTTATACTGAGCCTCCACCAGAAGAGGTAACAATCAGGCACATAGCCAGGGGGGTGGGGGGGCCATTTTGCCCCCCCCCCTTGAAATTTTGCTGGGGCCTCCTCTCCTTCTCCCCCTCATACAGCATTTTTTCATGGGAGGGCCTCCCCCAAAACAAAATCCTGGCTGCGTGCCTGGTAACAATAATATAACTACGCTGGCTCTTCAATTCAAGGCCAGTTTTGCATGCACGTAGGAGTCATATATGTTTGCAATTTTTCATTTTTACCTTTAAAAATGCTGATTTGTGTGTTTAGGACACATGCAAATGTTTAGAAAGATTGGGAGGATCTGGAGTTTTGGATTGTAAGGTCCAGTACAAGCTTTGTGTTTAGTTTTGTATGAATGACCGTGGAATAAAACCAAAATCTTTGCAAGGTTTTCACGTGTGTACAGATGTTTGCCGATTTTTTCTCGAAAAGTTTTCAGATTCCAAATATGGCCCATGACTATAAATATGTTCTTAGCATACTTCACAATATACAAATATAAAGGGAAACAGTGTGGCATCAGCAAATCACACTATTTCAGCTTACCGTGCCACCATGCCCTCTACAGTGAAGTGAGTTGACTTGGGTGTAAACCTGATGAGCAGGCTGTGGAAAGACTCCAAGCGGTACGTCTGGCCATCTCCAGAGATCCTTGGGATGTCTTTCAAAAGCTGATGCGACATCACAACTTTTTCCAGTGCGATGTATGGCTCAGATCCTGCAGTTAGAAACAGCGCCACATTAATCGCTGGGGCAATGCACATAGAACACTTCCTGGGTCATGTCTACAGTTCCTCTGTGCAAACTCAAAATTTGGCTTTCTTATTCTGTGTGTCTTCATGACATCAAAATAAGTCTGCTGGTTAAAAATAAAAATTGCTGCTATACCATAATTATGGTATTGCAAAATGGCCTAGGCAGCTCATGCATTCTGACATTACAACAGAGAGTAAAGTAAATACGCGAAGATACACACAATTTAGTCAAAAATTTCTGGACAAAAGAAATACAGTCACACAGGATCCATATTTTCACATATATTAGATTACAAAATTATTGGTTGTCAGCATAAGTCAGCCACACGACGTTGCCACCGAATACACCTCATTCAGCAGTGCAAAAGGTGCGTAGAAGTAACAGAATCTGTTCTTTCTTTGCATATGTTATTATCAGCTAATCCAATCAAGAGCAGGCAGTGTTTCATCACCCTCCACTTTGTTTATTACACTTTTTAATCTACCCAAGGTTATGCAGAAGCCACGGCCAATTGAACCACTTCCTGAAACTAGTTCCCAGCATCTGCAGTTTCCTTTTGTTTGCTAATACTAATGTTTGCTAACATTACAAATATATCAAACAGCAATTAGCATTACCTTCAAGAAGCCACCAGCGGTCCTCTATCGAGGCATGGGTGCACGCAGGGTACATCGGGTCAGGGTGCTGGTGCACGTCTACGACATGTCGCATCAACGACTTCCATTTGGCCAGCACCATTGCACCGTTGTCGTTACTGGTTTGAGCACACCAATAAACATGGGCACGAACAGTCTTCACCCAGTTATTCAGGATGCTGTTTCGCTTTGTCTTTCCTGCAGTAGCAAGCTTGCTCCCAATTCCTAGAAATTAGAAAATGTACATGCATGGCAAGCTGAGGTATAGCACTTTGGCATGTGAGTATGAGCATCGACGACCAAGTAAAGTGGACACAGTCAGAGTATGGCAAGTTTGTAAACACGAGTTAGTGTATTTGCGACTCCAACTAATTATAGGTAGCGCCCCTCATTTTCCAAAATGGCGGTTATAGTGAGGGTCGGAGATGCGTGTTGCAATTGAGCCTGTCTAGTGTGCTGGCTTCACTGAGCGACACAAATTATTTCTGGTAATACGAGGAAGCTAGGGCGTTATGGGCGCAGGTCACCTCTTTACCCTGAAAACAAGAACGGTGTTTAGCATAATATTTACGCAAGGATGCGTGTTTTAATTCTGGAGCGAAACCGAAACTAATTTCTACTTTAGATTTCATTTCTCAGTATAGGTTTTATTTTCGGATTCTTTCATACCTCAAGATGTGTCTCACATAGTAATTATCTAGTTAAAGAAGTTGTTCGCTGAAACTTTATTTTGTGTTTGTTTCAACGTTTCAATCCAGGCTGATATTTTAGTTGTTGAGAAAATCCCTGCTGATATTTGTGCGTTCTCGCCGCCTTTTCCTGCTCAGATAAATGCCATGGGAAATAATGAACTGCGGGCCTTTTAATGAGCTGTTGGGTATTTAGATGATTAATTGGTTTAACATTATTCTCAGCACAAGAATAAAAGAATAATTCCAATTTTTACAATATGTCCACAAACCGTATAAATTAATAAACATTGTTCTCACTGCAACAACCCAAAGACGCAGTCCGAGTCAGACAGCTGAAGTGCGTGCGTGTGTTTTCTATAGGCAACGGGTGACGCCTAGGACTTTATATTACATCCAGGGTTTGACCGTTTGTCGACCTTGATAACTATGTCAGAGTTTTTCATATGCTAAAAAGAAAACAAAATTATACCTTTCTGGAAAGACTAATATGGTGAAATGGCATATTTTCGTGATCTTGGCATTAATTGGGGGCATACACTGCCGCGAATGGTATTAATAATAATATTAAAATTCAGATATTCTAATATGTAATTTTTTCAAGCAATGCTTCTGATCTAATTTCAAACGCGCGAGCAAATATGACAACCAAAAGTGTGCTAATTATCATCACTGGTGCCAATTGCAGCATTTTTAATTACCAAGTAATAAGATAAAAATAGTCCAAAGTCAATGAAAACATTTTAGCTAATGTGAGAAATCCATGTAAAATTACATCAATTGTGGTTAAAGTATATTTTTCTATCAAAGTCGCGACTTCTGACAATCGGCACAACGTAAGCCGCCACCGAAATCCTTCCAGACCAAATGCCCAAAACATTTTTTTAATTATTAATTTTTTTATAACATTTAGTTACTTTCATTTTTACGCTTCGCCGTTTCGCCAATCTCAGCCTTTCCATTTCAAAGGAACGCCTACTTGCTTGCACGTCTGCTCACTGCAGCACGTTTTGTTGGCATTGGAAGCCGGTGAAACAGCAGTGAGTTTTAGTATTATGTATACGAGTGAACGCAAGTGCTGTGTGTTTGCGTTAGCTTTGCGTGTTGCACACCGTGAGTGTGCGGAGCCCAAAATTGCAGTCTTGGATGGCGCATGGCGATGAGGCGCACATGCAACATGGGGCTTACAACTCGTTTGCTTCTATCCGCAGTACTAAAACTCTCCTGTAAGGTACAATCCCATACCGACCGCAGCACTACGTTGGGACAGTGAAGAGTGTTGTTTGCATTCGGAAATGACATTTCGCGAGCCATGATCGCGAGCAGGTTTGCCGTGCCCACTGAGCAGGAGAATCGGGGGACCCTCACTAGAGCGCTTCCCGTTTCCGCTGCGGGAGGGCGAGCGTCGAGCTGGAGACGCGAATAGAACCATGCTGGAATAGCACTTTACAAAACTTGACTATTGAGCGTGTCACACTATACTGATTTGTGACGAGGAGATCCTGAAATAGATGAAATTATACTATAACAGGAAAACAAATTTCAGCATAGCTTGGTCAAATATATTATGCATATGGGAAAACCCAAATATCCTGTTTATTGAAGAAAAACATCTAATCTGAGGTGGTCCCCCAGGGTAGCGACTGCTGACATTATTTTCTAAAATAAAGTTAGTTACCTTTAGCAATGTGCCAAGCATCGAAACGGTGCTTCGTGTTCGGGTAGCTGTCCTTCATGAGGGCACTCACTCCAAAGTGCCGGTCTGTCACAGGTACATCCGGGAAGAACCCCCAACCCTGGAGGTAGTCGAAAGAACGTTTGAGGCCCTCAGTCTCCATATGGTTGCTTGACTTGACCTCGTTCGACTGATGTAGAAAGAGAGGGTAACAAAATCATTACACAAGCAATGCAATGACCAAAGAATAGTTCTAATACTGTGAAACATTCTTTGGCTAGGTGCTCAGCATTTTGTGAAGCCTGAAAAGTGAAGTGCAAGGTAGCGTGGCTTTGAAGCTCAATGCTGATTGGTATGGGGGGGAGGTCACATGACCAGAAGGGGTAGGCGACGCGTGAAGTAGGCAAGAAGGTGCTCAGCCGCCTGTGCGCACTGACGGAGGGGAGCTCGCGAATATGGAAGGCTCTGGAAGATCGCCAGGTTTATCATTACCAGTATCGCTTCATTCTAGGAACAACTATGAAGTGTACACATGGTACACATTAAACTTCTGGTGAAGGGTGCTGTGCATGAATGCACGAACGACACCTTCTGGCGTCTTGCGCATTCATGATTACAAACAGAACTCGTGGTGACCTGCGACCCAACCAGGATAGATAACTGGGCGAGTTGGTGAGAGTTTGTGTTGAAAAAACAGCGCTTTGTCTTATGTTCTCTTCGTCGTTGTGTCCTCGTCTTAGTCGCGCTGTTTTTTCAACATGGACCCAACCAGCCCCCTGTGCAAAGGGAGAAGAGTCCACTCAGAAATGCTTCGCATTTAAAATGTATGGCAAATTGCTAGGAAATTGTGTTTCCTACTTGAAAAAGCAGAGTATTGCAGAACATTTCACGTACGCAACACGATTGGCTAGTACTTTTCCAAAAAATTTTTTAACCAGTATTTACCTGGACAACCTCATAGTGCAGGATCTTGTTGATGTTGGTTTCTAGCAAGCTATAGGTCCCATATTTGGCAGAATAGCCGGGTGAGTCTGCACGGCCGTCACCGGCCAAGTGAAGGCCAGTGCCACAGATTGATGTCAGGAGGACAGTTTGCTCCGTTTTCCAGACCTTTGAAATTAAAAAAATCACAAACGTCAATCTTCACTACAAAAAATGACCTTTTAGCAAGCAATTTTGTAATCTGCAGGTGTGATCACCTTTGTTGCAGCTGGGAAGACCAGACAGCGTTGGACCTTGAAGAACTGAGTCTTGTGTATCACAGCGACACCTATTGACCCCAGAAGGCGCAGAACACGTGTAGGGCTGGCGCCAGAGTATGTTATAGCGGCCGGCAAGATGATGTTCATCAGCGCCTTGCCGTTAATCGTTGGCTGATTTTCCCATACAGTCGTATGGCCCCTAACACATGTAGTAACGGCGTGAAGCAGGGTCCCCCGTTGCTTCAGTTTCGTCTCTGTTGGGGCCAGGCACTCCTTACAGATCGAAAACAACTCTAGGAGCTTCGAAGCGCAGACCAGATATTTTTTTTCCATCAGAGGGTCAGCCGCCTCAGCAGACACGTTGCACTCCCTGCGAAACAAAACAAGCAGTACAGTTACAACCCTGCCAATTTCAGAGTATGTTGTTTTTATCCCCTCTATATTTTTTCCTGTCTTGTTATTTCATTATTTTAGTCACACTTGAAAATAACAAAAAAATACCTAGCTAGATCCTAGTCATAGTATAAAATTATGGTTTCTCAGAAGATAGAAAACACATACTCGTGAGGTCTTCCATCATCCGAGGTCACGGAGTCATCACTGGTGTCAGAAGAATCTGCCCCATAACTGCTGTTGACGGAATCGTTGGGTCTGTAGCTTGTGTCTGGCTCGGTAGACGTCTCCTCTGACTCATTGAAGTCGCTGGACTCGTCGCCGGTGTCCAAAGGGTCAGCCTCGGGTCCCAGAAGCTCAGTTGTGAGATTGAATTCCAAAGGAGTTGGGATTATGCCACATGGAGGCGAGGAACACCACGGGCGTGACTGCCCGCCACCCTCTGGGGAGGTTCCTTGATGTCCAGGGATATCAGCTTCGTCTCCCGGAGAGCTTTGGCTTGTGACTAGCGAAACAAACTAATATTCAGGACCAACATTTCGGCGTACTAAATCTTCAACAAAAGTGTATTGCACACAAAACTCATTTATGGTTACTTCTTTATAACAGTAAGTCTATATAAAGTCACTACATCCACCTACCTGGCAACGTGGTTGACGCCTGAATCTCGACTGAGGTTTCAAAAGGGATTTCGGTCTGCACACCTCTGCTGGCAGACCAAAAGTTTGATGTCTGTGTACCTGGCACATCAAAAACAATATTTAGGATACAGACTAAAAATGGTTCCTACGCAGGTACCTTTTGATAGCACACTTGCATGTGTCTGGCTCCACGCGCTGCATCTAGGTGGTCGGCTCACAAATACACATGTAAATACACTGGAGTGTGCACCAACTTGATCTGGAAAGTGGTCAACAGATTCACTGTGTGATGCTTGGCAATCTCTCTTGTCCAGTTCAGAGTCGTCCTCGGGTGAAGCATCATGCGACAAACTGTTGCACGCTGGGGCTGCGCTGCTGTGTTCTGGTGCAAGGGCAGTGGCTTGGTCCCTGTTCTGCAAGAGTGATACATGAAGTGATAGCATCTGAAGACATTCCAACATGCAGCAAAGTAGACAAAAAGTAGGTAATTCTTGAATTACCCGAGATTGCAGTGAAGACAGAAAAAAGACAAGTCTCAGGTTATTCAACAATGATAAACTTACCTCCAGCTCCCTTGCCCCCTTACATTTTGTTTGTCAAGAGTACATACATTGCTAGATCATTCTGCACTTACTTGATTCCGTTGGATGTCAACAGGCTCCCTGAGTGGCATCTTTTGAGCTCCCGTGGCTTCCTCGGAGTTGTCACCGGGCGAAGCATCCGAAAACAAACTGTCAAACGCTGGGACTGTGCTGCTGTGTTCTGGTGCAGCGGCAGTGGCTTGGTTCCTGTTCTGCAAGAGTGATGCATGAAGTGATAGCATTGTGATGACTGCGATTAGGGGGTGCACATACACCGTCGATTGGACCCGATGTCGAAGAGAGACAGTACCCAGCTCTAGGTCAAGAACATGTGGGTTTATCTAAACTCAGGTTGGGTCCGCAACACAGATTCGACAACCACAAGCACTAATCAATCAAGCAAAATATCTGCACAGCAGGCTTAGCAATAACATGCTATTGGTGGGCAGCAACCACAAGTCGCACAATCAATGGGGATCTGTTCAGAACGACCGGCAACGCGAAGCTATTGGTGGGCATAAACACAGGTCCTCTGACTATTCCCGAGTTTAGTTCGGTTGCTCACTCATGAATACCATCCATGTGCAGAAGCCTTTCTGCTGCACTCTGTCATTGCAACAGTCACTTGGCATCTGTTCTGTAAGAGTGGTGCACCATGTGATAGTGTTGGCAGGTACAACAAACAACATATAAACACGAGTACATACTCGTCTAGAGCACAGTGCGGGTGCTTCTGGCGACGATTCATCCTCAAGTGTAGTGTCTGCCGGCAAACCAGACACTACATCTGTATTTTGGTCTCCACTCTGTGGGGGCAATGAAGCAATACCAAGTGAGTGCGAGCGTATGTGGGCTCGCAGTAGGCACCCAGCTAAAGTGTAAGCAAATCTGCAAGCTCGGTCTCGCAGCTTCGGTCAAACCTGTGTGCAAACTATTATGGCGATGCGCATAGTGTTTGAGTGTGAAAGGGCTCGATAGAAACACGCGGTAACAACCGAAAATACGTGCTTGGGTTCGACGACGTTTCACCGATGAGCAGTCTGCTGTTTTGGGACTTGTCTTGCCACGGAAGACGGACGGCACGGCGTCCAGCTTCAACCTCGAGTGCTTCGTCGAGAGACCACCGTCGGCTAACACGCGCAGATTCTTCTCGTAACACTCCGGTAAAAAATGATCCGAACAGACCAATACACGGGCCGTTGGAGATAAAGGCTTCGTGGAGCCCGATCCGTTTACGGCGTCAGTCCAAAGTTTCCGACGCTCGCTGCCGGCGGGAGGAAACTCGTGGAAAAGGACTCCTGGGCTGCTCAACTGGTAATGCGAGCAGTCCGTGACACAACACCGAGAGCCGTTGCTTTTCCGTTTTTTTACAGGCATCGCACCGCACACAAACCGCGCTCAACGAGGCGACGAGGCGTCGGTGGCGTCGGCTGATCAGTAGGGAGCCGGCCGAGCGCGTCGTTCACGTTTCTCACGTCGCACGGCCGCACGGCGCTGCCAGCGCTGCTCTCCCCGGGAAATAAAACAAAATGAAAAAAACCTGTACATGCTTGATGACGTCACGGACGCGCCGGGAGGAGAAATTTGGAGGAAGCGGAAATGCAGCCGGGCAGTGTTGTCTGGTCCGCACGTCTCATCCAAAACTAGCAGATTCGTGCTTGTTGAACTTTGAAAGCGAGTTTAATAAACTTCTAGGCGGAATTTCATCTTAATATTTGCTTTGTGGGCTTTGTAGATGATAACAAAGAGAACTGTATTGTTTTGCACTACTAAAAAAAGAAGCGGAGTTGCCCTTTAAGTGAGAGGAGGAAATCGGCGTTCTCGTTCGGAAGAACTAGAACTTACCAATGATGTTGCTATGGCGACGGCGACTTCGACAGCACGAACTGCCAATCATAGAGCTCGGCATGGTTCGGAGCCGTTCGGAGCACGTGGATTTTTAATAACAAACACGGGTGGCCTTTCTGCCATCGCTTGTCGGGGTTTCGTGTCCGTGTGGTGATATGTCGACGCTAACACGATTTAAACGCGCCCGAATGCCGAGGCCGGGTTGCGTAACCGCCTGCGTCGGCTGCTACGAACTCGATCACTACGAAGTGAACACAACTGTCATCGTTGGTAAAAGACGCCCCGTGTGAGTCGTTCGCAAAGCGACGTAGATGGAAACAAATTGCCGGGGCGTTTTTCGCGGCCTCGGAGATGCCGGAGCGAGCCGACGTTAAAAAAGATACGTTTCAACCACGAGAGTGTCAGCAAGAGCCACGTAATACCTGTTCAAACTTGGAGCAGACACGCGCGTTTGATCGAAGTGCTGGATTCGCGCTGTTGGACCGCGAATTGGTAAGCGCTTCGGGACCGATCCTTTACGATTGCAACTCGATACTGACGTGAAACTTGGCAAAGAAAGTTTGAACCGGCATTGCGACCCACGAACTGTTATAACGATCGACAGTGAGGTGCAGTTGTGTCAGAATGAAAATGGCATACTAATAACAAAGTGTACATACTATGTTGCGAAGGTAATCCATACGGCGTTTATTTGAGCTCTATATCGCACAAAACAAAGATAGAATCGATGAGAGTCCCTTTTCGACGACAGCGTTCATCACCGCTGCCTCGGAAAACAAGGAGATGACAAGAGGAAGAGATTGACCTCTTAATCTACAATTGAGGTCAGCGATCAAACTATAACACGGGAAGGGTTCACAAGGGTCGCACGGGCATATTCCATTCAGCACGCCAGCCGGTCGTGGGCAGACGGTCTTGGCCAAGGACCGTCAGAGCACCGCTGCGCCGAGTCGGAGTGCCTGCTAGGCCTATCTGCCGAGCTCGCTTAGTCGGGTCAATGGAATCGTGGCCGTTGGAGCTTTTCACGGGTGTTTTTGGATCTAGCGTTCTTGTTCGTCGTGGTTTGTTTCAAGTACTTTTTACTTTTTTCTTGCTGCTTGTAGTCGGGATGCGTGAGAAGAGCACGTAGAAAAATAAACGTCCGTGGGTCATCGCGACAAAGTAACTGAGCGACGCTGTCGGCCATGCTGATTTGATCGTAAGAAGTGCGTGAGACAGCTTCGGAGCTGTCGTAGGATTCCGTCGTAACCTGCGCAAAACTTACGATAATTTCGTTTCGTGAGTACGAATTTTTTTTTACGTTGTCTTACGCACATTTTTGGCGTAAGATCGTTTCGTGAATCTGGCCTTTGTTCCGCGAACCACAGGAACGTGTGCGGGTACAAGTGCAAGGACCCGTTGAATGTTGTGTATCACGTGGGAAAACGCCAGAAAGTAGGTCCGCGGATCTGTCCTGCCACGGTTATCGACATTTTAAATCCGTTCAATTGCCTCTTTTTCCTGGTCCGGAAAGGTCTGTACCAGATCCGCGGACTCGGCTAACTCGGAAAGAGCCAACCGCGCCAATCTGCTCGTGCTACAAATGGCTGCACAAGTCGTTTGTTTTTCCAACGGACCACCTTCAGCGTTTGTTTATGTAGCTCCCCTAGTTACACCAGTGGTGTAAACTGTCATAGAGCCCAAGACAGTTGACTCAATCGCGACTGGTCGGAGTTTCACGGCGGCGAAAACTGTCATTGAGCCGCTAACGATCTTTGAGTTGTACTGAGCTGTCCTCCCTCAGTTAGCTGATGAGGGTTTGCCTCAATAATGCAAATGATGGCAGCGTCCACCAAACTGCCGCCGATGGCCAGCGTTAGCGAAGCACTGACTATTGCGGAAGATTGGGGCAGGTATCTACAAAGTATCGTAGCAACAAAAATTGTCGAAAGAGGTATGATTCGGGGCCAGTGCTGCCTCCAAAACGATCACGGCGCGTCGCGGAAACCCAAGCTCGTCGAGTGTGGTCCTTGTGGTGTCGGTGCTTACAAGACTTTCGTTGTGTCTCTCTTGCTTATGTTAAGCGTCCTGATTATCCTCTTTAGAGCGCAGCTCTT